CAGCCTGGCCAATATGGTGAAAGCCCGTCTCTACTAAAAATACAAAAATTAGCCAGGCATGGTGGTGCGTGCCTGTAATCCCAGCTACTCGGAAGGCTCAGGCAGGAGAACTGCATGAACTCAGGAGGCTACAGTGAGCTGAGAGCGCGCCCACTGCCCTCCAGCCTGGGCGACAGAGCAAAACTCCATCTTGCGGCGGGGGGAGAAAAGAAAAGGTGGTTTATAACTGGTTCACAATGGGTCTTGGTCCACTCAGGCTCATTTTTTTTTTTCTTTTTTTGGGATGGATTCTCACTCTGTCACCCAGGCTGGAGTGCAGTGGCGTGACCTATGCTCCCTGCAACCTCTGCCTCCTGGGTTCAAGCGATTCTCCTGCCTCAGCCTCCCGAGTAGCTGGGATTACAGGCGTGCACCAACATACCTGGCTAATTTTTGTATTCTTAGTAGAGATGGGGTTTCACCATGTTGGCCAGGCTGGTCTCGAACTCCTGAGGTGGGTGATCCACCTGCCTCGGCCTCCCAAAGTGCTGGGATTACAAGCACGAGCCACCGCACCCAGCCTCAAGCCCATGTTCTTACTGGTGGTTCTAATGCTAACTAAACCAGGATAAACCTTTAATGAACAAGGGTTGACTATGACACGTCTTTAGTACTCAGTCCTCCATAATTCAGCTATATAATAAACTTCAGAGCTGAGCAGGGGCCATCTAAGAGAAAGGACCAATGATTTTTTTTTTGTTTGTTTGAGACACAGTTATACCAGTAAGTTAGAAAATTTCCATTAAGTGTCTATATTCACTTGAAAGAAGGTTTTTAAACAGCTTTGGCTTTTCTGTAGAGATGGAAACATTTCCTTTCTTTTGGAATTTGTCTTTCCAATTGCAAAGGTGTCTGAGAACTTGAGAGCTTGTCTGGAGGTTCTAGCAGGGGAACGCAGCTACTCGTATGCCCTTGACTGAGGGACAGCCCTCCTCTATAGGATGGTCGTCCTCTGACCCAGAACACTGGTTCAGGAGGGACGTACATGGAGCAGTGAGGGAGGAAGGGGACACCTAGCCAGCCAGATCAGCGGAATTAACTCTGCCTATCAACAGGGTGACAGGTGTCGCAGCCAGATGGCCCCTCATATCCGTGTTTGAGAACTTAGAAAAAACCCCTTTCCCTCACAATCTATGAATAACTAGGAGGAATGAGTTGATGATTCAATCAAATTAAGTTTCTGTGCTTTTAAATTTTAAATATTTAAGTCTGCCTTTACACGATTACATTTTCCCTACTTTTATGTTTTGCATATGCTAAGAAACATCTATTTTATTTAAAATGAATTACTAACATAGAAAGATTACTATGAAGGCTAAAATTTTATTTTTTAGATGATGGCTATTTCCTTCCAATTACAGCCTGGTAAAATATTCCCTGATGAGTCTAATGAACTGCAGATTATACAATTACAGGATTGGCCGGGCGCGGTGGCTCAAGCCTGTAATCCCAGCACTTTGGGAGGCCGAGATGGGCGGATCACGAGGTCAGGAGATCGAGACCATCCTGGCTAACACGGTGAAACCCCGTCTCTACTAAGAAATACAAAAAATAGCCGGGCGAGGTGGCAGCGCCTGTAGTCCCAGCTACTCGGGAGGCTGAGGCCGGAGAATGGCGTGAACCCGGGAGGCGGAGCTTGCAGTGAGCTGAGATCCGGCCACTGCACTCCAACCTGGGCTACAGAGCGAGACTCCGTCTCAAAAAAAAAAAAAAAAAAACAACAAAAAAATTACAATTACAGGATTGGAAGTCTGGTTTGATCTCTTACCAGTGCTTGAATATTTTCTATAATATGCCCACCCAATGATTTTCTGGCATTTATTTGAATACCTCCAGTGACAAACTCACTACTCTGGAAGCAGTTTGTTCCCACCTTGGATGGCTCATTAATGATTCCTTATATAATGAGCCTAAAATCTGTCTTTCTATTAATCTCGGCCCAATTATCCTCATTCTGTTCCTTAAACTCACAGAAAACAAGACCAATCAGATTTGTCTAACAGGCAGAGACATGGGCTTAGACCTGGCTTAGAGACTGGTCTCTATCACTGAGTAAATTACGGGCAAGTCATTGTCCCTCTCTAAGCCTTGGCTCCATTGGCTGTGAAATAAGGATCCTACGCCTACCTCAGAGTGCTGCTGTGAGGACTAATGAGCCAGTGAAAGGCAGTGCTAGCTTACGAGGAAATGCTTGGGAATGCTCCTGGTGTCATGAAGGTCGTCACTCATGACCACAGTCTTATCTTCTCTCCTCCAGGCCAAATCCCTTCTGTTCTTTCAGGTATTTCTTACATAAAAAGGTTACAAATTCATCATCCTAGGCCCTCTCTGCCTACATCTTTTAATATCAGGCACCTAGTCAATACTAAGCATCATCTGTCAGGTGTAGTCATGTAAGAGATCTGGTTAGTAAGATTTTTGGTTTTCTGTGTTTGCTTTAAAGACAGTCACACCTGACTGACAGCATAGGTAGAAAGTAATTGGTAATGCCCTTGTTTCAGTTTCATGAATTCCTCCATGGAATTAATCCTTTCTCCTCTGAATTCTGGGATCACTCCCACCTCCTGCCTCTTGCACTGATATTCATCAGAAAACAGCCCCTCAGACCTTGTCTTTTATGGGATCCCTCTATCCTTGCTTGAGTTCCCTGCCCGTGTCCCCCCTCCTATGTCAGATCTATGCCTATTAATGTTCACTGCGAGACAGAAGATCACTCTTGAGGTTAGATTCTGTCCTCATGCCAGATACATTTGTGAACAGATATGGTCACTAGCTCAAAGGCTACAGAGCCAGTGCTTAACTCTGGGAAGCAAAACTTTTTGGAATTTGAGGCTGTTTTTTTAAAAAAAGATCTTGTTAAGAGAGAGAACACACTAAAAAAGTCTTGCACCACATTAGAAACTATCACTCCCCATTGTAACCCAGGGCAGATCAAAGGAGAGACAGAATCCAAGGGACAGATGGGAGAGTGTTTTATGAATATACAAAGGTTCACAGCTATTTCGCTTTGCAGTCATCTTGTAGGCCAATAGCTCCTCATCTGCTTTAGTAACAAAGGAGTTTGGGCTATTCCTGGAATGACCAAACACAATCTCGCCCCCTGCCAAGCTCAGCACACTGAGATTAATTTAATCTGCTTTCTGCTCTCCCAGACTGCTTTGCGGCTTTTGGGGGAAAGCAGCTTAACAGGGAAACTTGCAGAAACCTGCCCTGCTGGCCCTGAGGCCAGATAAAAGAGACAAAGAAATACTCTGAATTTGGTTCCTTACTCAATTCCCTTGACCAGTTCAGAGGCTGTAAGTGCTGCCAGGGATTCCCACAGGTCTCAAATGCCTGTATACAGTCAGGCACCTGAAACCGAAAGGTGGAGGCAGGATAAGGCCGGTGGGAGAGGCTGGGGGAGGGGAGTAAAGCCAGGCTTCAGTGGGGGGAAGGAGGAGTTAGAATCTTGGCCTTTAGTTGACGCTGACCACAAAGGGCCAAGTATTCCGGTCAGAATGAACAGAGCAGCATGTTCCACAGAGTCTTGCCTAACATATGTGTCAGCTTCTAGGCTGTTTCTCATTCCTGGTCTCATTCACAGGCTCTGGTAGAAACAGCCCTTACAGGGGTGGGATAAAACAGGAATGACCACTCAGTTCCTGTTTGTGAAATTATCTGCTTTGGGATTGGTCACGTCTCCTAAGCAGAGCAGACTTCTCTAGGCAGGGGGCTACCACTCACTCAGTCACCTTGAGATCTTCAGGGGCTAACCCCGTGTCCAAAATATGATAGGTGCTTAATGATCATTAAACTGGAATGTGTGGTGTCCATGATCTCAGTCTTCATTGTCTACATAAAGAGTACAGGGCTGCCTAGTGCCAAGATAAGCAATTTGGCACTAGCTGAGATTTACAAATTGCTTTCTGAAGCTATGATGTTTTGAGAGCAGCTAGGCTGGTGGGACCTGCCTACCAGAGTGGCATTTCTAGGTACCTGATTATGAAGAATAAGAGCTATTTTTTGGGCCCATGTCTTCCTGTGACAGTGGGGATTTCCTCAGCAGAAGAGAGGTATAGGCAGACCTCTGAATTCCCTGTCCCCTTTGAAACATTTTTGCCAGACCCAGGCACTTGCCAAGGCAGGATGACCTCTAGAGGCAGAGGCAGGGAGGCTCCTAGGACCAGTGGGTTGATGTCCAGAGCAGATGGGCTCTCCAGCCTGCTAAGGACAGACGTCAGGCTAACTGCCAGTTAGGCACAATTGGGCCACTTCAGAGCCAGTTCTGATGTTCGATTGAGTGTCCCTTATCCAAAATGCCTGGGACCAGAAGTGTTTTTAATTTTGGATTTTTTCAGGTTTTAGAATATTTGCATTATACTTACTGGTTGAGCATCCCAAATCCAAAAATCTGAAATGCTCCAATGAGCCTTTCCTTTGAGTATCATGTAGGTGCTCAAAAAGTTTGGGATTTTGGAGCATTTTGAATCTGGGATGCTCAATCTGTACTAACACTTGCAACGGGTATTTCAGATGGCCTAGCACTCATTCTATCTGACCCTAAAATAGCCTGAAGACTTGGCTTCAAAGGCAATGGAGACCAAACAGAACTTCTCCTTCTACCCCCTCAGCTTGGTCAATGGCTGATTTCCACCTTATCATGAGAAGGGAATATGTATTTTAACTTAAAAGACTTCTATTTACTGTTTGGCTGCAGTAGGAGTATGACAGAGCTCATGAAGTGAATAAAGAATTTAAAGAAGCAGAGTAGATGATAACATGGATCATCTTCTTCCAACAAATTCTGTTCAACAAAGGGCAAAACGAGGTCACCTATAGAACACAGAGCACACCCTCCAAGCCCCCAGCACTGAAGTCATGCTCACTGTGCTGTGTTCAGCAGGCCCAGCCATGTGGCCAGGGTGGAGACTGAAGGGTTCCCAAGGAACCATTTGCTCTAGAAACCACCTCAGGGGAGCACTGCAGAGTGATGCCCAGTTAAACCATATCCAGGAGACAGCAGCAAACACAGCATACACCTGGTCCAAGCAACAGGCCGTACTGCAGTGCGGTAAGCTCAGGACACAGTGCCCAGCCCTCATGGAAAGATCTGGGGCCACGCTTTACAATTTCTTTGGTTATATTTGGGCCCCCAAAGAAATTAATGCCACTCTGAAAGTGAGGAAGGTAAGAGATTTCACAAGCACCAGTTTGTTGACACCTAACTCCCGGGGCTGGTTAAGTGAAGGGTAGAAAAGTGACTGAGAGGGAGCTGGGGGGAGGAGAGGGGAGGGAGGGGAACAGGCAGGCTGAGCTCTATCTGGGACCCTGACAGAGTCCATCAATTAGAGGTTCATTTGGTTAACAATTTCTTTAAAATGCAAGTATACATCTTACAGTCATTCACACTTTACTGTGAATTACCTGACTCAGATAAACAGATTGCTTTCCTCCCAATTTAGGGACGGGGTCGGGGAGGGGGTGGGTAGTGACGGTTTTGGATCACAGGACACTAGATCCCAGAGGATTAAAGTTAGAAGGGCCCTGAGTTTAACATCTTAAATGTCCTAGATGAAGCAGAGGTGAGGTGATTTACCCAAGGTCACAAAAGGCAGGCAGTGGCAGAACCCATACTAGAACCCAGTGCTTTAGATGTTTCCGGGTGGGCCACACAGGTGGAGGGAGAGCTGCGCTGATTAGCCATGGATAGCACCAGGGCACTTGGGAAAAGAGGATAGGACATGTAAACTGTATTCTGGGACCTTCTGAGGCAGAGGCCAGATATCACGTGTGGGCTGGAGCATTTGGGTTCGGAAGCACAGGGTGATCTAGATGAGTGATTCCCAAATTGGGATTCCTGGAGGACTAAGCAGGATCCTTGAATCTAGTTAATCAGGACGCACAAGCTGGATTCAATATTTCAAGAAGCCGAAAAGGAAACAGCACATATACATACCTTCCGGAGGGCAAAACACGCTATTATTTAATACCATGTTACCATGTTTCCCAAATTCTAAAATGCGATCAGTATTAAGATGACCCATTTCCCCCACAAGGAATTTACACATTGATTATGTGTGCGTCTCAAGTACAGATTGTAAAAGTGTACATTTTAGAATAAAACGAGCAAATGCCATTTATTTGGAAAACAGTATCTTATAAAACATGCACAAAATGAGCTCTTCGTGGTGGGAAAATTATAGACCCTTCCCACCTGGGGTCCTCTGAAAAGCAGAAGGCAGGGGGAACGTCCAATGTCTACAGCCTTTTCAAATCTGCTAAGGACAGAGCTGTCAGAGGGCAAGGACTCCTTGCCTTGACACAGCAGGCTGTGGCTCCCTCACATGGACACCACCACTGCCCTGCCCCTCACACCTCCTCTGAAGAACCTCTCCCACAGAAGGGAAGACACAGCAGTGACAGGAGGACCCCATGGGGCTCTTTGCTGAGAAAAGTGGTGAGCTTTTCAGTTTGATCCATACCTGGGTTCCTTGCAGGGGGCTGGCCAGCAGGATGAAGGAGAGGCCGAGCCAGGGGACCCTCTAGCCCTGCCCTCAGCGTCACTGCAAAATGCCCTTGCTGGGTCTGGGTTGAAAGGCTTGGAGAGCTTATTGGATTTTAAGCATCTGGGTTGACCAGCTCCAGTTAAGGCATCTAGCAGGGAGGGGGCTCCTCCCTTGCTGGCAGCCATTACCATACAGCTGACTTTCATGCTGTCTCTCAGGACACAGGCAAAGAGAACGGCCCTTCTGACTCACCCACAATCCCCAGCTAAAGTGTACATAAGCTGAATTGTAAACAGCTGAATGTGCTCCAAGCTGCCACCCCCAGCTATGCAGGAAGGAATCAATGGAGCAAACAGCCACCCTCCCCCCACCCCATGCAGTTCAGGACAACGGGAGCAGTGGGGGATTTCCAAACAGCTGCTTGAACGCTTCCCAGCCCACAGGCTGAGGACTGCAAGAGGGGCCTGAGCTCAAACTCAGCAGCCGCACCTGCAGGACCAGAGTGACTTCCACCAGGTCAACACACCACGGAGTAATAGCTGGCCCTGGCTGCAGGGAGTCAGGGAGGAGTTTTCAAAGAGTTCTACTTAACCCTGGTGATGGAGGCCATTCCACTGGTATCCAATGCCAGGGTCGAGGCTCCCAGATAGTCTCACATCATAGTGCTCCGGCCCATGCTATGATTTCAAAATGCAAAATGTCTAGAACCAATGGGAGAGGTTCCACAGTACACACCAAGATCAGGGGAGATAAAAGGAAGAACGGCAGAGTAGTAAGAGCATGGGCTCTGGGGACCAGACCTGGACTCATATTCTGGTCCATCTTTGGTTATCTGTGTGACTTCAAGCACTCACTGCCTGTTCTGAGTCTTGGTTTCTCCATCTGTAACCACAAGGCTCATACTACCTATCTGTCTGGGAGGTTTCAGTAAATATTATATATGTAAAATGCCTGGCACTGAATACACGCATAAGCTGTGCTACATGGCAGTTAAGACTGTGGGATTAGAAAGACTCTAGGTGGCCAGGTGCGGTGGCTCACACCTGTAATCCCAGCACTTTGGGAGGCTGAGGCGGGTGGATCATGATGTCAAGAGATCGAGACCATCCTGGTCAACATGGTGAAACCCCGTCTCTAGTAAAAATACAAAAAAAAAAAAAAAAAAAAAGCTGGGTGTGGTGGTGAGCACCTGTAGTCCCAGCTACTTGGGAGGCTGAGGCAGGAGAATTGCTTGAACCTGGGAGGCGGAGGCTGCAATGAGCCAAGATCGCGCCACTGCACTCCAGTCTGGCGACAGAGCGAGACTCTGTCTCAAAAAAAAAAAAAAAAAAGAAAGACTCTAGGCTTAAATCCTATTCTGTAATGCTGGGCAAGTTACTCTAGGCCCGTTTCCTCATCTATGAAATGAGGTACTTATCTGTCTTACATACAGCTGTGGTGAGGATCAAATAACGTAATGCCGACATAACACACTGGACTAGGCTAAGCTTGGACACAGTGCCAACGTCACTGAGACCTGTGAGAAGATTAGGAAATCATCCTAATCTCACTCTACACTGAGTCTGGTCTCTTACAGCCCCAGAGCAGGGCTAATCTTTCTGTGGCCCAAACTGAGGTATCTGAGATTTGTGTTCCTCAGATGCTTTGGTCTATGCTGGGAGTCCTGTGCTTGCTCTCTTGAGGTCAGGCTTCAGGAAGAAATGTTACCTCCACTGTGACAGCAACGTAACAGAAATGCTTCTGCCCTAAAGGGCAAAGCAAAGTCTCAAGTCACCTTCAATGGCTAGTAATCTAAAGGACAAGAAGACAAGCACCAGATTCTCTTTCTATGCAGTTTTTTCATAAAGGGGGTTTGGAGCAGACAGTGCAGAAGAACCCTAGAAACCAGAAAAAAGTTAACTCTGAGACAAATAAAAGGAAGCACTGCTTTACCTAGAAAATACTAAATTTATGTAACTTGTAATGCCAGATGATTTAGCCTATGAAAAGAAATTAGTTTAAAAGGCTAAAAATAAACCCAGTTTAAAGATAAACTCATGGAAGATGGATTTCTACCAGTTTACAAAATAAATCTAGAAATGTTTAGTAAACTCTCCAGTTATTTTCAGGTTGATAACAGGGAAAGGCAGCCATGTTCCCCAATATGATGACTATTTTTTTTGGTTCTCAACTGCAGGATCACTAATATTGTTAGATAAATGTCGGGGGAGGCTGCAGGAGGGAACACTAAGCCTCAGTTGTCCTGTCTATATTATGGACTACATACTCCATACCTTGCAAATCAGTCCTACTGATCATTTCTGCTTATGGAAACATTACTCCTTTCCTCCTTATAACCCTTGTCTAAGCTTCCAGTCACCCTATTTTGCCACCAGTCAACTGACAGAACAGATTAATACTGATTACTGGAGGCCTCAAAATGTGGATTTAATCAAATTTTTTAATTTATTATTTTTTTTTTTTGAGATGGGGTCTTGCTCTGTCACCCAGGCTGGAGTGTAGTGGCATGATCACGGCTCACTGAAACCTTGACTGCCCAGACTTAAGCGATCCTCCCACCTCGGCCTCCTGAGCAACTAAGGCCACAGGTGTGTGCCACTCTGCCCAGCTATTTTTTTTTTTTTTTAAATTATCTGTAGAGGAGAGGTCTTGGTATATTGCTCAGGCTGGTCTCAAACTCCTGCACTCAAGTGATCCTCCTGCCTCGGCCTCCCAGGCATGAGCCACTGTGCCTGGTCCCAATATTTTTTTTTTTTAAAAGTAGTTGCTTCGTATTAGTTTTGTTTTAATTTAAAGTATCATTTGCTTTGATTGTTCAAAAATGTCTTAATATAGCTGTGTGGCTTTAGGCCACATATGGATGGTTTCAAATATGCTAAAGATACCAGTAACTAGGGATAATTATATAGTATTTGAGACATAACAGCCATGCAACTAGAGTTTTAAAAATAACTCAAGCAGTCACGAACTTTCATTTTCTTGCCAACAGTTCCAATATTCAGTATCAGGCCTGGTCCTCCTAATCTACTGGAGAAGAGTTGGTTATGGCATGGCATCTAACAGTCATCTCTTCTTAATACAAATAATAAATTTCACTGCTAAGAAGACAATCATCTGGAAAAAAAAAAACAGACATTTGCTTATGTTTCAAAGAAAGTCATAATAGCAAACTGGGACTCTCTTCAACATCTGGATTCATCTCAGAGCACTGGCAATCTGCGCTTAACAGCAGTCATATCTTTACCAGATGTAGAAAGAATGTTCTCTTCTTTTGGACTTACCTAAATATCATTTGGAAATTGGAAGAATAGGAAAACCTATCCTTCTTCACTAACTATAAAAATAATTTGGAAGAAGGAAAAAAAAAACCTTTAAGTTTTCTATGCTGGTCTACATGTTCTTACAATGAATCTCAGAGCAACAGTTTATGACTTAAATTATATGCTGTGTTCCTTAGTATACTTATTTCTTCAAAAACTAGTAATTCTAAATTGTATAATTCTTGACTATTATAAAATAGCCCATTTCTTGACCATGTCAATTATATTGGACTTTTGTTACTGATGGGGAAAAATCCAGAATTTGTGATAATTATGTCTTGGATATGCAAATGGTTGATTATTTTCCTAACAATTCCCAAAATATCCACATCATAAAGCAGAATTAAAGATGGTTTGCCTCCGAATATCTTTAGAAATATCAAATCAGTGTTCTGATGTGGCTAGTAATTCAAATGAAAAATTTTAAATAAGTCAGTGCTTCAAATGAAGCCGGCCTCTGAGTTGTGAATAAGTAGTTATCTTAAATAGGCAACTTAAAAAAAAAAAACAGAAAACATACTCAAAAAGGGTTTTAAATGGTGACTCATAGTTTAAACCATGCCCTAAAAACATTTAAAGCAAATCTATGTGTTCAGACTCCCATCTTGAGGGGTAGTTTAGTTTTGGGTTCCATGAAACAAAGTGTTAAGTTCCCAAAGAGCCATTTCTGTCATCAGTCCCCATCAGAGTAGACTGCATAACACAGTCAGTTCTCACCCTGCTTTCCCACAGGGCTGGGGACTGTGGGAAGGTGGGGAGGGTGGGCAGGCTCAGAGGGAGACCTCACTCCAGAACAGCCTCTTGAGGGGTACACAAAAGCCTCTCTCTACAACCACTTTTGTGAGATTCCTCCTGACCACAGAAAATCATCATCATCATCATCATCATCATCATCTTTCAGGAGCAAAATGGTACAAAACAAAGGGAATAAAAGAGAAATTATCAATTATGAAGACTTCTCATTCTCATTTCCCTACTCTTATCTCCAGTATGTGTCTTTTCAGAAGAGAATCTTTCTATGGCTGGAACTAAATCTGTCTGGAGATTAAATATTGAACAGCTGGGAGAAGTTTAATATAAATTTAGATTGACTCAAGAAAAGGGAAAAACTCTTGGTAAATACCGTGCTAATGATGAGCAGCATTACAGGAACTGGAGCCACCAACCTAAACCCTAGGTTTTATAAACTTTATTTTGGCTTGCTGATCCATGCTGGATGGAAGTGAGGAGGTGGGGGAACTTTGGTAAATGGTTACTGAACGCCTGCCTGAGGTCCACAGCCTAAGGGAGGACAGAGACTTAGGGGAAGAGTCTAAGGCAGTCAGGTCATCCCCTTTACACATTCACAACAGAGAAAAGTAGACAAAAAACACCTAGAAGCACACCAGTAGGGGTTCCTAATTCTGAGACAATAATCGTGTTCTGTGTTTTTCCTTATATAAGAAAACGTAGGGAGAGGGCAGCCAATGTAAGAGCATGCAAGGCCAGACATAAGAAGAGTTCAATTGTGTAAGATTGTCCATCTACTTACTCCTCTTAACACGCCCTCTCCCCCTGAAAGATCAGAACCAAGGTATCCAAAGTATCTGAGACAGGAAATGAGTAACACAGGAAAAAGGATGTGGTCTGAAAAAGAGTGGATTCTGGGGCTGAGCCAGAGCAAGTAACAGCCACAGGGTCATAGCTGAGGGAAGGGCTTGGTGGCAGGAAGAGAAATCTCAGGGTCAGTCAGCTTAGACTAGAAAGTCCATGACAGAGGAGATATGTCTGGGGAAGCAGCAGAGCACCTTCCTAAGAGGCGCTTCTTCCCTGAAGGAGGCAGAGAATGCAGAAACAATGGCTGATGAGACCCACAGCCAGGAGAATGATGACTGTGACAGAAGGAAAGGGGCTGGAGGTCCCTCTTTACTCAGAGGGAAGAGTAAATAATATATATGGAGTGAGCTTGACAAAGGTAAATTAAAAATTAACCCAGGACCTGGGAGAGAGTGGAAAGGGCCAGGAGGTGGGGACATGACGAAACACCAACATTCATTAAGCACCTATGTGCCACATGTCAGTAAAGAACAGTTTGGGGGAAATAAGAAGGGGGTGAAAACAGGAGAGAAAACATAGTTGGACAACTGAGAAACTGACTCAAGTACAACAGAAAAGTGGACTAAGAAACTACCCCCTTTCTCAAGATTAAGGCTGGAGGAAAAAGATGTCTGTTCTTCCCTGTGTGCATGGACGAGCCTGGAAACAGATCTTGGGTGGGCTGAGAGGCAGAGCTCATGTGATGAAGAGTGCCTGGAAAGAGCAGGTGCCAAAAGAGCACCACTCCCCATCTGCCCGACCTTCTGCGAAACAAGCCCGCCCTTGTGAGTGAGCCAAGCCAGAGGCCCCAGTTCCCGCCTTGCAGGGGCTGGAACTTGGGTGCAGAAATCACCAGTGAAAAACAGTTTCTCAGCTGGTTAGAAAGTGTGAGTACTCCCAAATGTAAATCCAGATGTTGGGAGCTATTTGTTAAAATCACTTTGATATTCCCCAGTGCCTAGGGCAGTACTTTACCTTAAATGGGAGCCAAATAAAAGTATGTTAAGTCTAACTGAATGAAACCAGAACTACTTAGCCGTGCTGGTATCTTCAGGTTCAAGACAGCCTCTTGCCCCGATAACCAACACAGTCAGGTACTTTATTTCTGTTCTAAAGTCAAAACGATGCGAAGCCCTACATCCCTTGTGACCTAAACCTAAACCCTCATCATTAGGGTCTGCCACAGGTCTGTTGCCCTGTACCAGAATAATAGATGGGCGGATGGGGGAGGTGGGAAGAAATACAAGATCAAGAAGGAATTTCCTTGCCTCATTAGCCTGTAATGTTCATGCTGACCTAGAAATCCTGGCAGTTCCAACATTTGGGTTGACTCAGGCGGGGAAGAAAAATCCCAGGTGAATGATAATTGGATTACCCAGTTATGCTCCAGAGCCAAATGGCTGGAAAAGGCTAGGTCAGTAGGCTCTGGTACAAAGTGACATTATTTTTTAAACCAAAAATGGAGATACTCGGGCTAATAGACAATGGGATGGAATAGTTTAAATTGGGGCTGTCCTAGAAAAATCAGGGACATATGATGGATTTAGGTCGGTAGCTTATTTTGCAAGGGATCCTCTCGGCCCAATATGCTAATGGAGAGGGGATTAACGATCAAACATGAGAGATACCCAAGGGGAAGACTGTCATTGATTTGTAAGGCAAGAAAAAGATGAGAAGAGTGTGTTCCATACACAGCACATGAAGGTACACATCGCAGGTATGGAGTAGGAAGGAAAGGAAAGTTGATTAGAACCGAAACTATGTGGGTGAGATCAGTTCAGGTTATGGAAGACGGGGGGCGGTGGGCCGGTGGGGGTGCGCTGTAGCAGGGCACTGACTGGGGCCCAGGGCTTAGGAGTTCAGATGGTAGCTTCGCCACTGGTTTGCAACCTGACCTTGGGCCAATTATTTCCCTGTCTGTGGACTTCAGTTTAAATAGAGAATCTCACAAATCCCGATTTTAATGTAAAGAAGCAACAAATATAGTCTACCTTCATTTGGCAGAAGAAGGAGAGAAAACGCTCTTCTAAAAATGGAAGACAGACACAGAACAGCTTGTCCCTTTCTATCCAATTAAAAACCTCGTGAGACTGAACTAGATTAAAAACAAAACTCTCCAGCGAAGCCGCAGGCGCCTCCAAGATAGGGAGTCCACCACCAATAAAGTAATGCAGATGCCAGCAGTCTTGCCCCCAACGCACCGTCCGTCCCCGGGAAGTCGCAGCGGCGGGGAGGCCGGTCCTAGGTCGGGGCTGGGGTGGGGTGTGTGGGGCCTGGGGACGCGGAAGCTGCGGCGCGCCGAGGTGACACAGGGCTTCCAGGGGCGACGGGCCCGCAGGATCCCCAGGCAAGCGAGGCAGGGGAACAGGGCACCTCCCAGGCGCCAAGCGGGCGAGAGCCGCGACTGGCACGGCCTGGCAGCCGCGTAGGCCCGGTCCGCTAGGGGCACCGAGGGCGGTGCCCGACTTCCAGGGCGGCGAGCGCGGCCCCCGGCCTCCCTCCTGGCGAGAACCCCTCCCCCGCCCCGGCACTGACCTGTCCAGGGCCCGGCTGGGCCTGGCCGGGCGGGGCCTACGCAGCCCCTCGGCCGGGCGCCGACTCGCGCGGGGTCCCGGGCCCGGGCGGGCCGCCTTCTCTCCGCCGGGGGCCTCCGAGCCGGGGCCCGGGGCTGCCGCGGCGCATGCGACCGCACCGGCCTGGCCGGCGTCAACAAAGGGCGGCCGGGGCGCGAGGCCGGGACGGGGGCGCGAGGCCGGGGCGGGAGCGCGGGCGGCGGCCGGGGTTGCGCGCGCGCGCGCGGCGGGCGCTCGAGGGCTGCAGCCGCCGCGGAGACAATGCGGCGCGTCTGGGACCGCTCCCGCGGCCGCCTCTGCCGGGGGCGGGGCGAGGGCGCGGGGCGGGGCGGGCCGCGCGGCGGGGCGGGGCCGCGGGAGGGGCGGTGCGGACACGGGCCGCGCGCTTCCTTTGTGCGTCGAGCCCCGCCTCGCGCCCTCCGGAAGGCGGGTTAGGGACGCCCGGGGCTCAGCTTAGGGAGGCGGGCGCCACGCCACGAGGAGGCTGCCCTGGCCCCCTGCGCAAGTGCTCTTTGGCGGGGCGGCCCGCGACTCCCGCCTTGGACCGTTTACTCCCTGAGGGGCCTGGGGGGCTTTCAGAAGACTAATGACCGCCAGTCACCGAGAGCTCAGTTCGTGCCAAACCCAGCTCGCACTCTCCCCACTTATTGTTCACAACGACCCTACAAGTCATTCTCCTTCCTACTGGGAACCGAGGATCAGAAGTCATGGCCCAAGTGCCCCGGTCACACCTCTATGAGCGGCCTGCGGCTCGCGGCAGAGGCTGATTGAGGAAGTGGGTTCAGGCGGCCCGCCGCGCCTGCCACACAGTTGGAGTTCTCTTCCCCAAGCGCACCGGGTGAACCTGCGCCGTCGTGGCGAAGCGTACTCATTCAGCTCGCGCGCGAGGGGCTGCTAGGGTACAGAGAGGTGCTGCATGACACAGTCCCCACCCTCGGGAGCGCGAGGCGCAGGAAGGTGCTGGACCCATGCCAGGGACTTCATTCTTGACTCCCCTCTATTCCCAACATGGCCCCATTTTCTTGCCTTCCTTAGTATTCATATTCGTTCCCTGCCTTTCTTCTCCCCCCACCCCTTTCAACTCTCAGGCCTCATCCCATCTTTGTTTACATTTATTTTACATTCCCCGAATATTTACTTAACTCCCTTTCTCCTCTATTTTTCAAAATTTCAACCCCCCTTTTCATTAATATTCATATTCCCTTCTCCTCTGCCTCTGCATTTCTTACACTTACATTTTGTTTTATAAACTAGGGTAACACAGGATTGTATCCTCAACTCCTGTTCCCTAACATGCGCACACTTTCCTGCCTCCCTCTCTTAAGTTCCACCAGTTCTTCCTGGAATGCTCTTTCCCCAACTTTGTATGTC